CTTAAATTAGGGGTTAGATTTAGGGTGCTTCATTAGGGTTTTTACATTAGGGGTTTTTTAATTTCAAGTACAGGGTTCAAATTAGGGGTTTTTTTTTTAATTTAAGTACAGGGTTCTTAAATTAGGGATTTGTTAATGTTTTCCTGTGTTCTATGCATCCACAACATTGCACTTACACTTTTCGATATGCAACAATCATTTTATTTATTTATCTTTATATCGTATAATTCACCTTTTTAATTCTCTTTTATTACGATTAGATGAAATATATTTATGTTTGTGGTTTTTTATGTTGGAATTTAAGATATTGAAGGATGTGTTCTCTATTGTAGGTTTGAAAGAAAAAAAATTGAATTACAATGTACATTTGTGGAATAAGTTTTTAGAGATTTGCATTGTTGACTGCCATGATTTCTTGATATATAATGGGGTATTAGCCTTTGTTATTACCTTATTAATATGATAGACTCAGTTGTGTTGCTTGTTGAATTTGGCCTCCCAATTCTAAAGTTACATTTTTAGGAATGTCATGAATGAATTCTCTCTTGGGTCTTGCTATACTTAATTCACCAAGAAGGACAAAAAGTGGGAAATTTATATGTAAAATATGTTTTCAATCAGATAGGGCAATGTCATGGTGATTAGGTATAACAAACCAATAGGAACACATTAAATCAAATGAAATCTGTTTGTGAACTCCATTATTATTATTATTATTATTCCAAGCTATGGGAACCCACATGATATAAGCAAATCTGGATTTTACTAGTAAATAATGATATGCTCTCTCTCACATTATTAGTTTGTTGTGAGGTCTTTATTTAAACATAAGGTAGTAAGGATATCCAAGGCACCTCACATTTGTTTGGTTTTAGGTAGTAAACTTGTAAGGATGTCCTTTATGCTAGTTTCTTCTTATAAGTTATAATTGATGGGTCTATATCTTATCTAAATTGATTAGTTTGTGTATAGTATATCAATTTTAAGTTTTGTTTCTGCCAAACTTGAATTGGGTTTAGAATTAGGGTTTTTAAATTTCGTTTTGAATTTAAGTTCAAATTATTAGCATGTGTACGGTAAGTTAAATCTTTGTGTACGAAACAAATTGATTTCCAATTTTGTAGATGTCACACCTCATTAGAACCCGGAGGGCGATGACTTCTACACCTAGTTCGACGGCTACACCTAGTCCGACGACTACACCTATTACTACCACCACTGCTCCGGCAGAGATGGACCATAGGCCGGTCAATCCGATTGACCCAGTTGGTCATCCAGTCCCAGAGGTGCAGGCATCGTCGACTTCTTCGATGGCGTTGCCTGTTAGCACCTGACGTACTCACCGGCACCCTCGCATTACGGACCAAATGTCGCCATCGGGATCCATAATTGATGCCTCGGGTACATAGTCAGGCATACAATCCTAACTCACTCCCTCATTCTCATGTTAACTGAGTTTTGTTATTATAGGTTCATTTTGTTATGTCATGTCATGTAAGGATTAAAAAGTTTCCATTGTTTTCTCTTTTTTTTGTTCGCAATTTCTTCGCTTTCAGAAATGAGTTTTGTCATGAAATCGAAATTGTGTGTATTCCGTAATTCATGTCTATTAATTTTTATGTTTTTGCAATTTTTTTGTTAATTTATGTTTCATTTCTTAGTGACTGAAATAGGTTTCTCATGAAATTGAAACGGTAGTATTGTGGAAGAGATTTGATGCTGAGGAGATGGCAAAAATGTTTAACTGGGAAATGAAAACCTTGGTAATTATCATGAAGCAAAGTTTTTAAAGTCGTAGAAGTTTCGGTTGTGACTGTCACAGTCTTACAAATGTCAATGTGGATAAGGTTATATGGAATTGTTTGCTACAACAGCTTAGAATTCTTTGCCAAGCCTGTTGCCAGTAATGTCGAGAGCCTGTGTATACAAGCTCGAAAATTGGCCGTCTTGGATGGCAGTTGTCGCCATTTTCAGAAGTTTGTTGTGGTATTTGAAAACGCTTGAATTGGATATATGTTCTAATTAGGAGAAAAGAGTGGCCTCAAACAGAGAAGTAGTTGTGATACTCAATAACTAACTTTCAAGAGAAATACAAGAAGAAAATGTATGCGAATGTTAACTGATCAGTTTTATTATTTTAGGTTCAATTTGTTAAGTTATGTAATGTAAGGATTAAAAAGTTGTAATCATTCCAAACCTTTTATTAAACTGTTGTGATCATTGTGTTGGATACGTATATTGTTTATGATATTTTCAAGGTTTTGGGAAATGTTTTAATTATAGGGGAGGTTATGCTGAAATTTTAGTAGGATTTGTTATTAGTTTTGGGGTCATGATTTTTTTTTTTCATTTCTTTACAGCGAAGAAAAACACTCGGGGACCTTGTCGGCAATTGAAGACGGCGAAGGTCACCTAGGTGACCACCAGTCGTATCCTAATCAAAGACATCGGGCAGCACCAATGGCGGAGTAGCATAGTGCATTGGCCTATGACATTGGGCATGTCGTGTGGACCTTTTGCCCTATGCGATAGAAGTCTTGGAAGGCGATGCCGGAGGAGACTAAGAACAGGGTGCGCAACCAATTGTCCGTAAGTAGCGTCGCCTTTTTAATGCTTTTCATGTAAAATTTATATATTTATATTTATTACTACCTTTTATTACTAATACTTTCAAAATATTTGTTACATTGCAGATAAACTACAATTTGGAGGACATGGACGAGGACATGTTCGCGTACCTCATTTGGCTCTTCTCCGAACGCTACAAGCAGTGAAACAGTGACCTGCACCATTGTTTCCAGCAATTTGATGATCCGTAGGTCGCTCTTGAGGGGGGTTGTCCGAAGGAGTTGGAGGATCAACAAGATAGTTGGGTTTGGCTTTGCGGTCATTTTCAGGAGTCAGGCTATGTGATACGTTTTTAATTACGACTTCTTTCATTTTACATTTTTTTAATTTTTACTAATTTTTTTTTTTAATTTTCTTTAAGTATTACAACTAATATGTTTATTTTTTGTATAACAGAAGAAGGTGAAGGCAAACAAGATCAATCGGGAGAAGAAGACTTTTCTCCACCATTCGAGTTCGAGGCCTTTCTCTTATACGATAGAGGCGCGATGAAAGGTATATATTACATCTTTCATTTCCAATTTTAAAATGTCGCTAATAATTTTTTTTTTCTTACTAACATTTTCCTTATCTTTTTCGATTTCAGGAGGGTTCAAAATTTCCAGAGATCGACGTCTTTGCTGACGTTTATGTTTGGCTTGGGGATAAGTTGACGGAGTCCCTTCATGTAAGTAATTTCTTAGGCATTCAACATTTATACTACTTAATTCAAATTGTTTTCTATTAATAATCCATGTTTTTTTTCATAGGCGACTATGGTGGAGAAGAGTCGGTCGGTGCTTCAAGAGTCCGCCTCCTAGCTTCCCTCAGAGATGCCGATTGAGTCTGTGGATCCCCCTGAGGATGTAGGGTTTCACATCGTGACAGAGACGTTGGACCAGACTTTCGGTCGGAGGTCAGGGACTTATTGTCGGGGGATAGGAAATGCCAGGTGGCAGGAGAGTAAAGCCTCGTCATCCTCGCAGTCAAAGGGCCAGGTTACGGCTTTGACACAAGAAGTCGTTGGCCTGAGGAGTAAGCTGGCATCGTACAAGTCTTAAATGTCGATGCTTGTATAAGCCTTCAGTTCCTCCGGAATACATATCCCTGGTTTTTCTGCACCATCATCATCACATCCCTTCCACATCGAGCAAGCATAGCAATCAGGCTCGTCGACCTCCTACCCCGTCCCCAACCAGTAGCAAGATCCTTCGTACAACATTCCTATAGATTTTTCTGTTTTTTTTCATAGTTTTGTTCTTACTTTCTTTTAAAACTTTATAATTGTACATACATTTTTATTTATATTATAAATAAAAATTGTTTTTTTATTCATTAATTTGTTTTTTTTTTTTTGTCATTAGTATGAAATCTTTTTTTTTTTTTTTTTTTTTTTTTAATTTTCCTTTTATTCTATTTATTTATTTTTAATAAAAATTACACTTATGTGACGCCGACCAGTCATTACGCAAAATTAAATGCGTCTTATAACTTCGTCGCACATTACCACGCACCTCTTACATTTTTCGTCGTGCAAAATTTTTCGAGACGAACTAGTCATAAAGTGCACTTGTACCCTTTTATATCGTACGACAAAAACCTTCGTTCGTATAACTTTAGCGCAACAAGTAGTAAAGCATCGCGTAATTTGTTTTTTTTTTTGAGCGACAAGTTCGAAATTGTTCGTCGCACAATGTGCCCGACAAAATACGCGTGACGATTTTCTGGTCACCATAGTTTTTGTGCGACAAAATCTCCCTCGTCATGCAAACTGTTTAATTTAGTAGTGTAACTTAAAAGGAAAATAAAATAGAAAATAATGAAAAACCAAAGATTTCCAAAAACATGAAAAAATGTGAAATAAAGATTTATGCCAAAAAGGTCTCAAGACTTAAAGTAATGGAATTAGACCTCTATTTTTTTTTTTTGGGAAAACGAGTCTCGAAATCATTAATACAAAACTAGACCCCTAGTTTCTGGAAAATGAGTCTTGAGGCTAAAATAGCAGAACTTCGTCAAGACCGAGTTTTCTTGGATTTAAGCTTGTCAAGTTGCTCCATGAATATCTTTCCTAGCTGTTCTACATCAGTCTTCTCCACTTTGGAAGAACTTAACCTGGAGTTATTATCTAGATACAATGACTCATCATTAAACGTATGAAGATCTACAACACTGAAGGTCTAGGAAATTCCCATAACATCTGCCAAATCCACAACATAAGCATTATCGTTGATCTTCTTCAGAATTTTGTAAGGGCCATACTTGCGTGGCAATTTGTTGTAGGTACCAACCGGGAACCTTTCTTTCCGCATATACACCATGATTAAGTCTCATCCATGAAAACCTGTGTTTGTCAGCAGCAACCCTGTACCTTGCATTTATTAACCATAGTGACATATGTCAATCTTGAAGTGGTCTGAGTTGTCATAAGGTTGTTATAAGTGTAGTGATATGTGTCAAGATTAGAGTTGTTAAGGTAGTTATAAGGAATAAGTTGGTTAAAGAGTAATACAGTAAATGTATCATGTATTGGTTACTAAATAACCAAAGTTCTCAAGGCATATTGTATTAAGGTGTAATAATTTCATTTCAAAGATATCAAAAACTCTCTTATCTCCCGCTCATTATTTTCAGCTTCTTCTTTCTCTCAAGCTTTTCAGTTCAAAGTTTTAGTATAGTTAATATGATTTCATCGTCGGTGAAGGATAGCTACTGTTTCTGATCCTTGGAGTATTCCGCTATACAATTCCGCTTCTGGGGTCTTCGATCTTGGATGAGCTTTCAGTTGTTCAGTTTCTACAAAAAGGGGTTTTCAGATGATTTCTCGACAAGTGTGAGATTGAAAAGCGAAGCAGTTTTCAGGTGAAATTGTTCTTGTTTTCTTCAGTATTCGTGTAGCAATTGTTGTGATTCTTGATTTGGGAAAATTCTAATTGGTTGTTCAAAGATTAGAGATGTTAAACTTCATGTGCAAATTTGAAGGTTCTGCAGTTTCCAGCTCATTTACATGATTTCCAGTTAATTTCTAATTTAGAATTGATTTGTGAAAGAAGTATTTTCAAGAAAGTGTCAATCTTTCTTGATCAATCTACAAGTGTCATTCTTTTGAGATAGTATACAGTTGCTATGAGAAAGTATCAATCTTTCTTAAATTCTGAATTTGCCTGAAAGTGTCATTGTTTCTTGAATTTTTTTGCGTTAATTTGAAAGCAATTTGATCATGGCTACTAAAAATATCAAAGTTTAGAGTCTTTTGGGTATGCTCACTATAAAGCTGAGGGATGATAACTTTGCAAAATAGGCATTTCAGTTTCAGTCAATTTTGAAAGGTTATACTTTGATGAAATACTGTTTGTTTACCAAAGTTTGTAATTGATATTGAAAAAGGTGTTACTATTGAGATTACTGCTACATATATTGAATGAGAGTCTACAAATATGGCATTACTGAGTTTACTGTTGGCTACACTTTTTGATGAAGCTATTGAATATGTTCTTGGATGTAAAATTGCATTTGAAGCTTGGTCAAATCTTATGGATCGATATGCTTATGTGTCTAAGTCTAAAGTAAACAATTTGAAAACTGAATTTCATACAATACAAAAAGGGAGTGATTTAATTAGTAAGTATCTGTTAAAGTTGAAAAGCATCAAGGACAATTAACTGCAGCAGGGAAATCTGTGTCAGATAATGATATGATCATAGCAAGTCTTGCAGGATTACCAAAAGAGTATGCCCTAATTAGAACTGTAATCTTGGCCAGGGAATCATCCATAACTCTTAAAGAGTTTAGAGCTCAGTTCTTAGGTGCTGAAGAGATAGAAGGAGAACAAATGTATTGTCTCAGAATTTATTTGCATTGTAACTCTTATCAGGGATCATCTTCTGCTTCTGGATCCAATCTTGCAGGACACAATCACTTGTCACCATATAACAATTCATCCCAGTTTCAATATCCGCATGAGCCTTACAGTTCATAATTCCCTCAACATTATCATTATGCACAGCTTCCCTTTTATCCTTAATCACCATATGATTTTGGATTCTTTGGAAACACTTCTAATTCACATGCAAAACCTCAGTTTGGACAAAAATGGTGGTAACAAATACAGATCAAATGATGGTAACAAATCAAATGGTGGCAACAATTACAGATCCAATGTTGGTTTCAAAGGGAAGAATTTCAATGTAGGGTCTTCTGGTTTCTCATCTAGTAATTCAAGACAGAATGGTTCTGGTACATGGTCTGGCAACAGTAAGAACAGGTCTAATGTGGTAATAGAGTGTCAAATATGCAATACAAGAGGTCACACAATTGTGAATTGTTTCCATAAGAACTCAAATTCTCCATCTATTAGTTATATGCTTGAGTGCCAAATCTATGAAAAAAAGAAGGCATTCAGCTTTTGAGTGCTATCATATGGGAAATTATGCACTTCAAGGTCAACCTCCACCTCCATCTCTGAATGCAATGGCTGCATAGCAAACATCTCAATATGTACCTTGGGATTCTTGGATAGTTGATGCTAGTGCATCACACCATATTACTGCAAATGTGGATGCTTTGAATCATGTCATACATTTTGAAGGTTCTGAAAGAATTATAATTGGAAATGGCACAGGTTTAAACATTGAAAATATTGGTTCTACAACTCCCAAAACCAATTCTCATGCTCTTATTCTTAAAAATGTGATGCATGTTCCTAAAATTGCAAAAAGCTTATTATTTGTGCAATAGCTATGTGCTGACAACCATAGCTGGTTTATCTGTGATGAAACTGAATTCTTTGTGCAGGACAAGAAGACAATTGAGGTCCTGTAACAAGGAAAGGGTAGGCCTAAAACACTGTTTCAAATTCCAGTAGTCAAGAGTTCAAAAGGAATGCAATCTATGGTTCAAAGTTCAGTTGCTTATCTTGGACAAATGGTAAAATCAAGTCTACGACATCAAAGATTAGGCCATCCAACTAATGAAATAATGTCTGTCATGTTGAAGCAATCTTGGTTAGACAATCAACATAGTATGTGTACTCAATGTATCAAAGGGAAGATGTCTAGGGTTCCTTTTCCTTCTAGGATTGATAGGTGTTCTTTACCTTTTGAGAAGGTTCATGCTGATATATTGGGACCATCTCCTGTAAAGTCTCTAGAAGGACACATATACTATATATGTAACCATTGTTGATGAATATACAAGATATGTTTGGACATTTTCAATGTGCAATAAATCGGATGTCTATGCAATCTTTGTGAAATTCTATGCGTTTGTAAATCAGTTTGGTATCTCTATTAAGTGTTTGCAATCTGATGGTGGTGGTGAATATACAAGTCATTCATTTAAGTTATTTCTTGCTGCAAAAGGAATACGATAGTTGATTTCATGTCTATGCACTCCACAACATAATGGATTGGTTGAAAGAAAACACGAGCATATTGTAGAAACTGCAATCACTTTGCTTACCACAACTGGATTATCAAGTTATTTTTGGTACTTGCCACCGAACACGAACAACCCCTTTGTATACGCCGAAGATGAAACCCAACCAAGCCCCGAAACAAAAACAGAAGCAAACTCCTACCATATTATCTAACAATCCAAACATTTGATCAGTCAAATAAATCTATAAGTCATACACCCAGTTTTACCCAAATACATGCATGCACATATAATGGCCTTTTGGGACATGCTGAGGTGACAAATTCTTAAATCATTTATCCTTAACTCATCAAATAGAGGGACGATATCCTGAGGTGACAAATCCTTAAACCACTTTGGCTAATCTCAATTTTCTTTAACCTCCCCCACCCCCCCCCCCCCCCCCCCCCACCCTCTTTCCCACCATATCCCTTGGGTTTACAATACTAATTAAAACCCCTCATAAAATGCCATCAGAGAAATAGAAATATAAACACCAAGGGCATGCATGGATCATTCAAATCATTGAGTGCAAGAGCAGTCACTTTCTTTGCTCATGGAACATTATTCTACACCTGCCTTTAAGGCCTTAAGCTAAGAAATTGCACGAAATTATTCCACCTATCCAATTGGAATGCATGATTTCTATAAAAATCTATCGTTTGACAAAAAAAAATGCATGATTTCTTTCTAGTTAATGATATTAATTCTATCAATGGGATTAGAATGATCTACACTCAAATACCATATTAGTTAAATTGAAAACCAAAATATGGTATATTTCTAGGTAATGCTAGGGGGACTAAATTTGTAAACAAAATTTGCAAACTAAATAATGTCACTAATATGAATGAGTATGTTTATTAACGCTTAAATAATAATTCAATCATCAACTTCCATGTCATTTAGTTTACAAAATTTAGTCCACAAATTTAGTCTCCCTAGCATTACCCATATTTCTATTATCCCAAATATTGCTATGCAAATGGTCCAATTACAAAATTCATACTAAAATCCAAACGGGTGCACGTTTGCTCACCATTCTAAAGTGGTGATGATGCTCACCATCCTATTAATTATTGTTTGATTAATGTAAATTTCATTATTTTTTATTGTAGATAGATCAAATCAAATTCATCCAACGATAATTAATATGGTTGAAAACATCACCATCACTTTAGGATGGTGAGCAAAAATATTTCATTCTAAACAAACTCACTTAGACGATTAAGGAAACTCTTACCACACTTAGTGTAATGATCATATCTATGAATGTCACAGAGAGGCCTGAAAAGAGTGAAGAAGCACATGGTATTAGGTAGCATATATGTGCTCATCAAACAATGATCTCTTCTAAAAGCTTTTATTGACTATGTCTCTTAACTACCCTCTGAACATGATTGACTCTTTATATGCAAAGAACCATTCTTCTTTATCTGCGAGTCACAATTTGACACATAAGACAATTTGACTATGTCTTAGGAAGACAACATTCCTCACATTTCTGCAAATCACAGTCTGGCGCATATGAAGAAATACTCATCAAAATACAAAATAGAAATTTTTTGCACACATGTCAAATTGTGATTGAAATGTTTTAGAATGACTACTTCCAATGGAATAAGCTGTCAACCTAAAAACTAACTCATATAAAATCACAAAAGAAAAGATTATGCACATATCAAACCAATGAGGAACGAATCTTTACACTTAAACAACCAATTATTGTACGTACCCTTTTTGCCCATTAGACCTCTTTCACATACTCAAACACCAAACCTCAGTGACCAAGTCTGCTCATTGTTACTAAACCACTCCAATCGAACTTCTATATAATAGAGAAACTTCTACCACCCAACTCACTTCTTCACTGCATGCCAAGAGACAAGAGAGTAGAGAATAGAACACGAGAGATGGCCATGAACTTGGCTTTGTTTTCACTATTTCTGGGCGTTGCGATTGTTTTTGCAATTGTGCCGACAATCATAGGAGGAGGATATGGTGATGAGGATTGTGGTGACCTCTTGGGAAACGATGTGTACAAAGATAGATGCCCGGAGGCGGAGGCCATAATATATGCCGGGGTCAGGCTGGCTGTGTTTGAAGACCCAAGAATGGCAGCCTCTCTCCTTCGTCTCCATTTCCACGACTGCTTTGTTAATGCACGTTATTTATTTTTCACTATTTATATGTGTGTGTGTGTTACGTTATTTTTCACTATTTATATATATGTATGTATATATATATATATATAATATGATGTGAACTGTTCAGGGCTGCGATGCTTCAGTGTTGCTAGATGACAATGACAACTTTGTTGGGGAAAAAACAGCAGCGCCTAACTTGAACTCTCTGAGAGGTTTTGAAGTGATTGATGCAATAAAACAGGATCTTGAAATTGTTTGCCCTCAAACAGTTTCCTGTGCTGACATTCTTGCAGTTGCTGCCCGAGACTCCGTTGTTGTGGTGTGTGTGCTAAGAGCTACATAGTTCTTTCTTTTTTCTTTGTTAACAAGAAAGCGATGCAACACGAAGACTTCTCGGGAGGCCTAGCTTATAGATATACTTCTTTCGAATTTTGACTAATAATTTGATTTTTAATCTGCAGTCTGGTGGACCTAGCTGGGATGTTCAGATGGGAAGGAAGGACAGCTTCACTGCTAGCAAATCGTTAGCAAATAACAACATTCCAGGCCCAAATTCTACTGTTGCAACACTGGTTTCCAAGTTCCAAAATGTAAACCTTAGCTTGAAGGACATGGTTGCACTCTCTGGTACCCTCAACTTTGCTTCCACTGATCTCTTGTATTGTGGTTGATTAGAGTGAGACGTAAGGCTAATATTTTGCTCTCCTCTCCGGCAGGTGCACACACGATGGGAAAAGCACGCTGCACCACCTTCACCGCCCGCCTACAAGGCTCCACTAATCCAAATGGTCCGGATTCGTCTCTTGAATACGTTCAGTCGCTGCAGCGGCTGTGCTCAGAATCTGACGGCAACATGCTGGCAAACCTTGACCTAGCAACCCCAGCAACGTTTGATAACCAGTACTATCTTAACCTTCTCTCCGGAGAGGGTTTGCTTCTGTCCGACCAGAATCTCGCAACTGGAGATGATCAAACGCGTGAACTGGTAGAAACCTACGCACAAGACCCGTCCGCCTTCTTCGAAGACTTCAAAGATTCCATGGTAAAAATGGGAAGCTTGGGAGCAGTTACCACGATGAATGGAGAGATTCGCAGGGACTGTCGAAGTGTCAATTGATCTTTTAGCCTAATGTGGTAAGGCACTTTCCTACAGTGGAGTGGAAGGCTCAATTAGGAAGCTTTGTATTGCTAATTATGGATGGTAATGCTAATAACATATTACTTTAGGTTTAAATACAAGCTAAACTAATATTTATCTGATAATTATCGGATTTCTATGTTTTACAATTATATCCTACAACTCGATTTTAGGCAATTGGTTGCCCAGTACTAATGGTACAGAAAATGCTCACAAAAAAGGAACTAAGAGCTGAAGAACGTTTTCACTACACATCCTACCGAGCATTTTCAAGCTCTAGCAAGGACCATTGGCTGCGTCGTGATCAAAATTGATAGAAATACGCTAACGTTTGGCTTCCTCCCAGCATCTATTCTTTTTGCTGACGACGTGCCACCTTACACTCTACCACTTCAAGCCCCTGGAGATTGAAAAAAATGTTCACCAATTTAGAAAGGGGTAAATACAGTAGACAAATGCTCAGTGCATAAGAAGCGATCTGAGTGTCGGTTTGTAACCATGCACAAGGCCATACAGCCATGAACTCTCATTCTAAATAAACCCAAACCGACATCAGAATTTGAACGAAAATAATTTATTAGAACCTGTTGGTTTATTCTTCCACATCCACTCCTGAGCAGCCTGAAGCCCCTTGGCCGAAAAAGAGAACTAAAATTAATTCGTGATACTTAAAACTTTAAAATAAACTGATCACCCGAATTTGAAAATTGAATACCTGTTGGAAGCGTGAAGGATCACCAGCTGAACTAGGTGTAGGTAATTGTGAATAACTTCCTTCCTGGAGACACAGATGACGAAAATAACCAATTAAAAATGGACTGGTTAGGGAAAACATTATATATTTTTAATTTTATAGTGAATCTGAATTATCTGGGTACTAGTGGGTGCGAAATTTACCTGAACATTTTGGTGACCTATAATTCCAGAGGCCAGATACTGTAATTCAAATTAATGAGTTAGTAACCACAATCAAATCTTTAACATACCAGGAACCATTAGGAAACACTGACCGATGAAGAAAACGAGGGCTGTTGTAACTGCAAGTTGTTCCGGAACTGTGGTTGAAGCTGAGATTGATGATCCAGTTGTTGGGTTTGAGAAATTTGCTGCACAGACCGATTTGGAGGGAGTGATGGGGCATGAGGCTGCTGAACTGATGCCTTTTGTTGCTGCTGCTGTTGCTCAAACAATATAAGTTCAGCAGGTTTCTCCCACTACAAGTTCACATAAGCAGCATTAATCAAGTTGAAGACAAAAGGCCAAAACGAGGGAATCTGAGTGACAAAATCCTTACCCTGCTTTCACCAGTTGCATTATTATAATAGTACTTGTATCCATCCGGTGAGGTGTGCTCTGTCCAAATGCATTTTGCAGGAGCTATAGCCTGGGTTCCAGGAACAGCTGGAGCAACAGATGTGACTGAAGGCACATCCACTGCTGGTGTGGAAGAAGTGGTGCTGGCAACCGTATGTGGTGCAACACCAGTCCACTGGGACTGCAGGAACAAAA